TACACAAGATACCACACCCCGGTGATAACATTTTGGGCTTCAAAAATATTATCACCGGGTGTGGTATTGTGGGGGGGGTGTGGTATCTTGTGTACCCCGGTGATAAAGCCTAGCTCGCAGGAGCTCCTCAGGGGGTGTGATAAACCAGGGGGTGTGGTAGCACATGCGACCACCCACAGGGAGGGTTTGGGAGTGGGATAAAAAAGGGGGTGTGATAAAATGGGGTGTGATAACACGTCGGAACACCCAAAGAGTGTGTTCGGGTGTGTGATAAACAGGGGGTGTGCCGCTTGCGTAGAAGTCTGCTCGGGTTGAAAGAACGAGGTGATCTGTGGCGCCTGTGCTGCTGCGGTCGAAGCAGTCGTGGGAGAAGCAGATGTACTTGCGGCGGCATTCTGCTCTTCCCGCACGTTCATGTTCTCTGAGGTCTCCATGTCTCCCCCCGTACGGTACAAGCTGTGCGTGTGTGATGCTGTTTCACCCCCGGTGATAGAGACAGGGAATGTATGCGGCGTAACCTGTGTTATCACCGGGGTGTGGTATCTTGTGTACCCCCGGTGATAAATCATGGTCTGAAAAATACACCCAAAATTACCACCGGGGTGTGGTATTGTGGGGGGGGTGTGGTATCTTATGAGGGTGTGGTATCTTGTGTAGAATACGGTAGCCACCGAAACGATCTGAAGAAGTCGTTCCTTGAAGACTCCTTTCAGAGCCATCGTTCCTCCGTGCCTTCCTCCCACGGCATGTGTCGCAAGTTCATCGATGAACTCGTAACCCTCCTCTCCAAGGCGGCCAAAGCTTTCCACGGCTAAGGTGGTAAGTTTAAAGCTGCGTTCGTCTTGTCGGGAGGCAAAAAAAAAAAAAACATCCTGAGACGATGACCAGGACACGAACTATAAAACAATTTCTTGTTGGTGCCACACGTTCTTTCAGAGCAAGTCGACCGGGGACCCGACAGAGCCAACAGAGCACCACCCACCAAAAGACATTGACTCTACAATATGCCCCAAAGAGGGGCAGCAGGAGGACCAACAATAACAACAATGACGAGGGAACAAGATGGACGTTGCTGTAAGCTTCAACAATACATTATCAACAAAAATAGAGGTTTGGGGTTTCCTACCACATGCACGCATGTCAACTAGTCGACCAAAGCAGGCCACATCTTGAGTGGATCCTTCTATCAACCACCTTCACAAACAGAGCTGCGCAACCAACCGTACGTAGACTCCCATGTCCTCCCTCAAACAATAGACGCCAACAGAAGCGGCAAGCCCCGGTTGTCGGAAGGCGTGTGCTTATGTTCATTTGCAACACAGTGGCTAGCATCCGCAAAAAAACACAATAACAAGATTCCGCGCCCACAACAATTGTTACACAGGCCGGCATCCGCAAAGAAAAAAATTGGCGAGAAATCATGCCCAACGCGACCCGGCACGGAGCACCCATCCATGTGTCAATGCATGGAAGACAAGGGGCTGAGCGTTGACTGGACCCAATTCAAAGGAACCTAATACTTTGCACCCGGAACCAAATCGCTGGCCCACCTGGTGGGCTGTTGTTGCGGTTGTACAGCTCACCAGCCTCCCTCCCGCTCTTTTCCTTCTCAAGCCGTGCGTGTTCAGAGGTCGGAAACACCGATAATATCACGAGAAACACAACAAAAAAAGAACAAAATTCTATTGCACAACCGCGTCTCGCGCGGCAGCAAAATACCAATACTCTTTGCCTCCGACGCATAACAACCGTCTTTGCCTGCGTCATCCGTAAGGGCAGAAACATCCCTCCTCAAGGCCACTGCCGAAAACAACGTGTGACGTCAACATCACGCTACACTCATGCCGAACGAAGCAAACTCCCACCGCCCGGCCCGAACCTCTCCGTTGCTGCTGCCCTTCATCTTCTCACTCAGTCCCTCCCGCCAACAGCAACGACTCCGCA